CTTCTATGCGACAACCAGTCCACCATCTGTTTGACTAAGAATCCGGTCTTCCATAAACGCATGAAACATGTCGGAACTTATTGTCACTTTGTACGAGAACAAGTAATCGAAGAGAAAATGACGGTCTCTTATGTTCCTTCAAATGAGCAGCTGGCAGACCTTCTCACAAAAGCTCTTGCCTCGCCACGCTACACTGCACTTGTTGCCAAGCTTCCTCTCGTTTCACGGCGTTCAGCTTGAGGGGGGATGTTAGACATATATGGAAAGAAGTCTAGTTATAGCAGAATTGTATTTATGTTAGTTTACATATTTGGTGAATCCTAGTCCATGTAGGAATCCTCACCTATATAAACATCCTTGTACACAATTATTCTTTAAGAGTGAATTCATAAATCAACAGGGAGAAACAATCCTTTATCCTTTATATATAAAATTTGAGAGTTCAACTCTCAGAATCGCGACATTTGGGATGCTGACTGGAATCTTTTTGACATTTCATCCGCCATGTCATCAAAATGGGAGAAAGACCAAACTAGGACTAAAACATTGAAAATATACCAAAATAGGACTTCCACGTTTTTATTCCCGAAATAGGACTTACATTACCAAACATGGTCATATACATTACCAAAAACGTATAGTAATATGCACATGTACACTGTCACATTACCACAATGCAAAGTCACATTACCACAGTGCAAAGTCCTATTCCGGGAAAAAAAACATGAAAGTCCTATTTTGATACTTTTCTCTATGTTTTAGTCCTATTTAGGATGATTTCTAAATCAAAATAGACTTCCTCAATATTTCAAATGGGTTGGGCTTCTAGAATTGTGACATGTGGCATGCTTATTGGACAATATTTTTGACATGTCAACATGTCATGTAAGTAAGTAATGTTTAAAAAAATAGTTAACAAAAAACTTATTATGTGGAAATTAAATTTCGTATTTGTTACACACAAATTTCTCCATCTAATCGCATTTAAAAACTTTTATATTTTAATTCATTATTGGAAAATATTTAAATTAAATAGTATATTTTGAAATTTAAAAAAAGAACACCTATTCAAAAACTATAATCAAAACAAATAAATTTAATCTAAGAACGGATAGATTGGTAGGACTAAACGAAATTATATTTGAATTTTTTGCTTTGAATTAATACTAATTGGAGAAATTTTCTAATTATTTAAAAAACAGAAACAACTATATAAAAGAAAATGGATTTTTATGGATACGTTTATTTAATAGAGCATTACTTTTATTCTATATACATAAAAAAATTCTAAACCAAATAACAAGTATGTTCCATTTTAAAATTAGTATTTTCGATTTTAAAATTATTATTTTCCATGTCTAGCTTTGTAAAAATTTACATGTAACAAAAATTATCGTTTTCCATTTATAACTTTGTAAGATGATCAATACTTGGTAAGTGAGTATTTATGTGTAAGAAATTAAATATTAATTGGTTTTCCTAATCGAAACATTTATGGTAAAGTATTAATTGTTATAAGTGTAACTACTTTTAAATTTAATATAATAGTTTGTGAAATATAAACTAAGTTTTGATACGCATCTTTTGCATTTAAATATTTATTTTTTTAATTTTTTATGTTTTTTTATTTAAATTCACTTTTAATTTTCAAATATAAAGGGGCTTTGTTAAATTTTGAGGTGTAAAGTATGTACGTATATACATCCTGATTTGTACATAAACCGAAACCGAACCATCCCAAACCGATATTTTGGGATCGGGATCGGTACGGAGTAAAATCCCATACCGAACTGAAATATTTGGTACAGTATCAGTATGAGCTAAATACCGTACCATGCTCACCCCTAATTGGAACTCATGTTCGAGGTTGTTGAATGATAATGAATTTGTCTTATCCCTCCTTATTCTAGGAGGTGAAAAGTAGTACTTAAGTTCTTATTCTTCACGCCATCAAGTTTGGAACTAAAAATGACATTTTGAGTACATTTTCAATTCCTCAAATACTCTCTCCGTCCCCCATATATCTTCTCATTAGCCCTTCTTATTTGTCCCACATAAATCTTCTCATTACCTTTTTTAATAATTAAAATACCACAACTACCCCCACTTACTTTATTTATTACACCTTTTCCACTTTATTTAATACACCCCACCCATTTTCATTAAGGGTATTTTGGTAAACTTTCACCTTTTTTCAACTTTCCTAAAAAACCGTGAAAAGTCAAATTGAAAGTAAAGAAACTTCATTATTGTAAAAGAGGGATTACAGAATCCCGGGGAGTAGAAACCCAAACAGAACGACGGGCCTCTGCTCTCCTCGCAAGAGAATGAGCAACAACGTTTAACTCTCTACGAATAAAACTGATAGAACTAGAGCAAAAACCGACCAACAAGGCCTTACATTCAACAATTAATGAACCAAAATAAGAAGTAAGAGAGAATGAAGTGTCTGAAATTGCTGAAACCACACGTTGACAATCCATCGAGATCTCCACGTTATGAATATCAAGCGTCTTGATCCATGATAGAGCTTCACGACACGCCATAGCCTCCGCCATAAGAGGGTCTGGAGAACATAGTAATTCCCCATTAATGGCAGCAAGAAAACAGTTCGTCGGAGAAAATAGTGCACACCCGAAAGCAACCCTACCACTATCCGGCGCAAAAGCAGCATCAACAAAACACCGACAAGCAGAAGAAACCCC